CTGAGATAAGAAGATACCAGATGTTCCATCCTGCTTTTAGAGACCATGGGTTCGGCTGGAATTTTATTCCTGTATTTGCCAAGAAGTTTTCAATTGTAAGTGCACGAACCCCAGTTCAAGCTAGGGGACCAATGCAATCATTCAACAATGTTTCGGCAGTATGTGCTCCAATAAAACAAAGTAAACCAAACCAAACCTGTTACTGTCGGGTCGATTCTGACCCATAGCGACCCTAGAGGACAGATTGGAACTACCCCATGGGGTTTCCAAGGAGCTGCTGGTGGATTTGAACTGCTAATCTTTTGGTTAGCAGCCGTATCACTTAATTGGCTCCACAGTGGTATAAACATTGGGGAAAATCATTACTTGTAGATAATATGGTATACCTAGAAAATCTTAAAAAACTAATAAGAGAATTAGTAATTTGTCTGGATATAAGATAATTGTGCAAAAACCAAAATTGTCCTTAATTACCAATAAAACCAAAACCAAATCTGTTGTCAAAGAAAATTCTGACTCATGGCAACCCCATGTGTTACAGAGTAGAACTGCTCCATAGGTCTTCCTTGGCTATAATCTTTACAGATGCAGATTGCCAGTCCTTTATCCCACAGCTCTGCTGGGTGGGTTCAGACACCCACCTTTAGGTAAGTAGTTGAGCACAAACCATTTGTGCCACCCAGGGACCTTTTCATTATGAATAACCAGTTCAAAACAGAAATGGAAAGAAAACATCCTTTTCATAATAGTTTGAAAAATAATTAAAAGCCCAACAATAGCTTTTAATAAGAAAAGTAATAAATATATAAAGTATACAATTTTATTGATGATTTCTGAGACTGAATAAATAAGGAGAAACAAGATCTAAATAATTTTTTTGAATACTATATTCCTGAATAGGAAGACTTAATAGCGAAAAGAAGTCAATCTTTCTCAAATTAATAAAAGCAATGAATAAAAGAGCCCTAATGGTTTGTTTTTATCTTATGGAACTAAACAAACATGTTAAATGTTATGAGGGAGAATAAATTATGATAATTGCCACAAAAGTTTAGAAAAAAGAATACTGAGTATGAGGCTTGTAATGACAAATGTTAAAACCTGCTACAAAACTACTATAATCAAAACAGTATGGTACTGACATAAGAATAGATAAATAGACCCATGACTAGAACTGAGAGTTCAGAAGCAAATGCAAATAAATATAGAAATTTAAAATATGACAAAGATGCATTCCAATTCAATGGATGAATACAGATTTTTTTAGTAAATGGTGTTGGGATAATTGACAATCCATTTAGAAAAAAATAAAATTATATCCTTACACCTTGTAGACAAAAATTTGTCACTGCAAAAAATAAAATGACTAACACTGGAGGAATTGAAAGTATTAAAGCAAAATATAGAAAAATGTTTATACAGGCTTGGAAAATGTTTATATATAGTCTTGGAAAGACCTAAACAAGTTGAAACACAGAAACCACTCAGGAAAAAGTTAACTAATTTGATAACCCAAAAATAAAAATTCTGTGTGACAAAAGATACCAAAAGATTACAAAGATACACGGCATTAACAGGATACAAACCATAACCATCAACACACAAACCCCAGAAGATAAGCTAGATAACTGGGATCTTCTAAAAATCAAACACCTATGCTCTTCAAAACACTTCACCAAAAGAGTCAAAAGAACCAACAGACTGGG